GATTTATCAGTATTGAACGCTTATATACTATTCAAACTAAAGCACAGCAAGACGATTCCATTTGGCGATTTTCGAATTCAATTGATTCGAGAGATAATTGAAAGATATGGTCAGCCCAAAGGTCCAACCGGTCATCCAACTATTGGAGACAACCCGATACGTCTCACCGCACGTCATTTTCCATCTCTAGTTCCCTCAACACCAACAAGAAAAGCCGCGCAAAGATATTGTGTAGTTTATAGTCATACAAGCAGACGGGAGAAAAAGCGTACTGATACACGTTACCAATGCGACATATGTGACGTTGGACTATGTGTCATAGACTGTTTTGAAGATTATCATACTCTAAAACATTTCTAAACAACTCTATATAGCAATAAAATATATTCAAGACTTTTGTTGAAAGCAAAAATTGTTAAAAAAAATCCCGTAACGAAAGGGTTAAAGATAGCTCTGAATGATTTTGACATCTTATTGAATAATGGTGTGATACATTAGTAGCTGTGTTATTAAATATGAAGAAACAAGTCCTTTATCTATTTTATCTATTATAAAAGACTTTCTAATATGCCCGAATGAAGTCGATTCGTTTATGTGAAAACTAATAAGTCTTGAAAGAATAGGTAAAGTAGAAGATATCCTTCTTTGGATAGAATCCTGCAATTCTCAGAATTATGGATCCATATGGGTATTAGATAACTTTTCTTCCCCTATTACATTCAGATAACGCCAGAGCTATGAAGATCTTGTTTCTTACTTTTCCCTGCAGTAAAAGGTACATTATATAAGTACAAGATACAAATTACTCAAGTGAATCACGTAGGAACACCGTAAGAAATGGATCTAAAATCAGTTGTTACATTCTTTATTACACAAAATTTTTTCAAGTTTTCTTACAATACAGTATAATTTGGCAAATTATTCAAAGAATTTTTCAATGTATTTTTGTATTAAACATAGCGTACCATATTTTCTATAAATACGTAAAATCGTTTGTGTTTCACACATGTTGGAACAAACGCACGCTTCACCGCAATCAGCCGATGCATTCTAAAATATAATAAAAATGTCATTACCCTAATAATAGTCTAGACTACATAATATAGTACTACTTAAATAAGTAAAACTTTACTTATTTATTGTCTACTGCTATTCCAAGATAGTACTACTTACTTGGTTTGAATTATCAAAACATCCATCACATGCTTGCACACAAAGATATTTATCATAATACGGCTCGTCTTCTCGAACATTCTCGACAAACTTTTTTAAAAATTTTAATAAACGATTTTTATTGGATGTGGCTCGTGATGGTGGCACCTCAGAATAAATCTGAGCTGTAACCACTGGTGATAGTACCATACATATACAAATTATTCTATGGTAGTTGATTAACGCCATATTGTCTAAATGAAAGTAAAGTTAGGTTTATGTTTGAGAAGTATACTCACAAAACGTTAAATGATTAGAAGATAGAGACGCGTGAGAAAAGGAAGTAAGAACTAATGATCAGATCGTTTGTGAAAAGACTCCTATTTAGTTCCGGTGTTTCGGATTTCTATTATCAAGCGCGTTTCTTTTTACTCATACATCCTCAGAGAAAACAAAACTTTTAGTAATGACGCAAAATCGCACATAGAAAACGATTAGGCTATATGTAAACTTCATCAATAACTGTATCGTTTCCAAAAAGAAAAAAAAAATTTAGATAACTAATGCAGGTTGTTCATTCAACATTCATATAATTGCTATTATATCTATTATTCGATTACAATGAAAGACAAGAAGAACAGCGACCACCTACAAACGAAAAGGAAGAAGAAAACAGTGAGACAATTATCGTTGATGATGATAAGCAAAGGCCAGCTCGAGATAAAAGCAACGAACGAGGTAAACCAATTCTTTTCAGTTTAAAACTTTCTCATTGGTGTCATTAATAATATCTGACACAATTTACACGAAACAAAACAGACTGGTACTTTGATGACAATAAAATCGGTACTACAGGGGTAATTAATATTCTTTACTCAATTCTATTTGCATCAGTGATGTTTATTTCTCATTTGATATAAATACTCTTTTTGACGACATATTTTTGTATGTCACGTTTCTTAATCAGTACCTAGCACGCATTGACTATACATCATGGAGGAAGGAGTTAGACAAGTCACTATTAAATAAAAACAAATATTTTAAATGAAGTTATGAACTACGCAGTGTAGGTGAGTACAGTTGAAGTGTATTATTGTCATCAGAGTATGAGTGCATGGCACGTTCCGACTTTTAGGAAACGCAAGAAAGTCGCCGAATGATTTCATACTAATCATGTTTCTCTCGGTGTATTATGAGATTTCAATGCTTATGCACATTCTGTGTATATATTTAGACTTCAACTATAGTTAGGTCAAGTCAGGTTACATGGAAATGCAATAGTGATGGATTCTGTACCAACAAGCAGTATTGAAATGTTCTCTCGTAGCTCACTCTCATGTTAGGATCCCTCTCACATAGCCCGACCTGACCTGACTTGACCTAACCTTGGCTGAAGTCTAAATACATGCACAGATATAAGAAGTGCATGTATACTCTCACAGTAATAATTTAATCTGATCTCACCAAGCCCAGGATGAAGCCTAAATATATAGACATCATATAAAACATACGCAAGCCGAGTTATCTGCATATTCGAAAAAGTTTGAATTTCTCGTTTAGTGTAATGTGCCATGCTATGCAGAGTACCGAGCTGTTTTGTCTCTTTTAAATTCTATCGGATACTGTTAATGACAGAAATAGATGGATCATTCTAAAAAGAATATACACAATAAATGACGCAATTAGGCAACTTAAGCATATAGTCAATTTCGGCAACAGATATTGAAATGTGTTTTGATCACTCATGATCGTACGTTTTAACTTCGATGATAGTATCATGCATATACAAATCATTCGATAGTAGTTGATCAACGCCATATTGTCTAAACGAAAGTAAAGTAAGATATACGTCTGAGAAGTATACTCACCACAGGTTAATTATATCCCCCCTAAAATGAGACCACTTCCAGCTCGCGCCGATCTTCCTTGAAAAAAGTATTGAAGTTTTTAAGCTTTTTTTATTTTTTGCTTCAAAGCCTAGAAACTCTTAATTTTTTAGTTTCATAAATTTTTCTATCCTTTCCTATATATTCAAAACGTTTTCTTATAGATAGCATGATAGAAGAAAGTGTGCTCTTCAAAATGAGACATCTTCCAGAATTTTTCAATGGGTTTTCGTGGAGATATAAACATCACCGCAAATGTCCTGAAAAACAGAGACCTACTAATAGAGACCTTCATATGTATTTTTCTCGCTATGCATTTTTGCAATAGTCTCTTTAACCCAGTCACATTTCAGCTTTCGTCGTGAGAAGGTTGTTAAAATTAAAACCCACTTTTTTTATACCGGATTTTAGTGCTTTTCGATTATCTCGAGAAGCAACACATATTTTTTAAAAGGAATAAAGACTTGAGAAAGACTCTAAACCATCTGTTGTAAAATTTTCATCTGGATCAGACCATTTTTTTGAGGGATCGTAATGTGACTGAATGAAAACAAGAATTTCCAGAACCCTTATAGAAGAACATGTCAGAAAATTCTAGGCAAAAATACATCGATTTTCAATGTTCTTAATTCCAGCCCGATCAAATATCCGGTTTCGAAGTTCAACAGGTTCAAAAAAAGAAGGAGGCGTGGTATCCTTAAATGGTTAGAAGAGAGAGACGGGTGAGAAAAAGAAGTAAGAACTAATAATCAGATCTATTTGAAACGACCCGTAATTGTGTTTCGGATTTCTACTATCAAGTGCGTTTTTTTTTACTCCTACATCCTCAGAAAAAACAAAACTTTTCAATGACACAGAATCACACAGAGAACGATCGACGCTTCATAATTCAGAACACTTTTTTTATGCTTATTAATTAGATTTAAAAGTGGACTAAATCTAGAATGCATATAATCTCCCCCTTCTTATAGAAATAAAATGTAGTCTCAATTTAGAATGCACATAATCTTCCCTTTCTTATAGAAATAGAATGTGATCTCAATTTGGAATAGAGAGTTTGGTCTTTTCACATACTTTGTGCACTGTTCATAATTTGGAATTACTCTTTAATTAGGAATGATTGAATACTGTCGACACAGAAACTGATGCTTAAAACTAAATTGAACTGACTAGTAGACCTCACAAACTATCACAGCCAAACATAGTGGGTTATATGTTATCAACTATGCTGAATTCGAATATCATAGTGGTAGCTGCGGAGAGCGTCTTTCTGGAAAATCACTTTTTCATAAACTTTAAAAGGTAATCAAACCTTTTCTTAATGAGGCATGATTGTAGCCAGCAAATTTCTGATTACAATGAGACATCTCCCAGCTCTACAAGACCTTTCTTTGCAAAGTTATAGAATTTACAAGAAAATCCCTAAGGCAACTGGGCAGTTACCACTATTATATTCGGATTCAGCATTGTTGATAACCTATAATCCTCTAGGTTTAGCTGAACAGCGACCAGGGAAAATGGCGGTGTCAGTATTCTGACTACAACTTTTTTCTTTTCAACCTTTAGACCTGATCGCTTTTCCAAAAGATTCCATCAAATTCTCTACAAAACTTGAGCAGACTGATTCTAGAGAAAATTAAGAAGAAATATCAAACAAAGAATACTCAACACGTAGAAATGGAACAGCTTTCTAAGCTATGTTGATTTATAAACTTTCGTGTATTTTAAACAGCTCTAAGGACAACCAGGCAGAAGTGAAAATGTTTTCGAGTTCTTTTAAGTGCGCTCTTTCTCGTCACGCAGTTCACAGTTCGTTCGAACCAAAATGAGCATTGAAAAATCTAACATTCCAAAACTTATTTAAGAAGAAAACTTTAAGGACCCTCTCCGGTCAGCAACCTATCTCTGAAACTATAAGTCCCATCTAGAGCAAACTTTTAGGAGATGCTGATCTTCTGAAAGTATGATTACGAGATTTTTTGTTTGTTTCCATTGTGCATGGTTTGTGAGATGTCGCCACAACAGTGAGCAGAATGGGGCTGTTTGTAGCTCCAAGGTTTTGCCGTAACAAAACGTTCTTATGTTACTAATATCCACTAGAAGGCATCTTATGAGTCGGCTTTTACGGTTTCTGTTATGATTAAGTTACTTCTACTTGCTCTCAAATCTTTTGGGCTAGTAAGTGGCCGTAACGGTCCCAGGAAGAAATTTTGGACCTCCGCAGGTCCTTCTAATCTATTAAGAAGTTCTCATAAGTTAGATTCATGCGACACAATAAGGCATTCGAATGCATTAAAGTAGACAATTTCGCGCCGCTAATAC